AAGTTGAACCACTACCACAAAATGGTTATGAAAATCGAAATTCTTATAAGCAAACAAAACGAAAGTTGAACCACTCCACAAAATGGTATGAAAATCGAAATTCTTATAGCAAACAAAACGAAACCTTATAAGCGTATTTTCTGTGCAGTTTCTTACCCGCCTTAAACGTTTCAATTAGTTGTTTCATAAATTCTAACGTGATATCATTCTCAAGAGCAGGTCCGTCATATGTTGTTTCCACTTCTGAAAAGGGAATAAAGAAATTCGCATCCCTCCTCTGCATTTTGAACTTCTTGAATGTGGTTAAACTATTTTAATCTATTACGCTTCCGCAGTTAAGTCGATCTTTTCCTTTTAAAATTTATCCTAAGCAGAGGAAAAAGAAAGAAAAAACTATAACCAATCGTATCAAGATTTATAGATTCCGCGATACTACGTTTGTCGTGATCCACTGATATTGCTTTTTCAAATGCTATCTTTCGCATCAGCTTTTGGCATTCATCATATTTTTGTTTAGCATCAACATTATTTGGTACTGCTTTACGTACCTACAATCACTCGTAATAATACAGTATTGTCGTTTGCACGACTTTTGATATCAGTCAAAATAAGACAAAAACAATGGCAAATAAGAGAAGTACCGGAGAAGAATGAAATGAAGTACGTTGGCTAGCATCCAGTTTTTTTCACTTTCTAATCTGAACTTTGAATCTATTCGGAAGATAACAATTACATAATTTTTATCTAACAACATAAGACCAGCCTAGTGCACAAACTACTAAAAGTGACCAGACTTGCCCTCTCATAGATCCTCGTTAACGGGTTTAAATTCTACCCATTCCGATAACCGGCCTCAAAGAGAAGAAAAGAGAATACTTTTCTCTACTTTTCTCCATTTCCTTCATAACGATTTTTTTAATAAGCACGTTATCCCACTGTATGGAGTCATTCCCTATCCACCAGTATCCATAAACATTAATGAAATAATACATCGCTTTTACTGCCACAAACAGTTTTGATCAATTTTATTGGAAATTTATGTAGTTTAGTCTACTCTATGTCATACATGTGGGATACGATAATAAGCAGAATTGAAGCAAACTGTTCATATTAGTAGAACAGACAAATCTTTCGTCACAAGTCACCCACATTTTATGGTCACACTCTTTACCTTTACTACCATGATATGAAATGACCAAATTTTCAACGATGGGAATATACCGTGTCATAATCCTTCAGGGCAAGTTTTAATTTTCCTAAAGCCATATAGGCTGTCGCACGCCTATAATAACCCTTCGAGTAATCAGGATCTAGTTTCAAGGCCATATTTGCATCTTCTAGCGCACTGCCATATAATTCTTTTTTCAAGTAAGCCATACTCCGATTGCCATAAAACAAGGCTTGCTGATCATCCAATTCGATTGCTTTCGTATAAAGCTCAATAGCAACATCATATGCCTGATCTAGAACAATGGCACTGATCAAATATACTGATAAAGTAGATGAAAAAGAACTTTAACTAGGAATACTCAGTATATGCATAGTTTAGCAGTAATATTAGAGTCTAATTATTCCTGGTGTTACTCAGATGTTATCACATAACGCGAGGAAACGACACTAAACATAATGCAGAAAAAACTATCGTAGATTATGTGTTTGCCGTACTTTTTTGGTTAAATGTTTAACTCTAATTTCGGACTTTAAGGAACAAATTACCATGAAAAAATTGATTAGCTTCATCCTTAATTTTCAAAGCTCGCTGGGCTAAGTCGGTTATTCCATCGACGTTTTCTAAGATAGTGGAGACGATATGTTCGGACGTCATTCCTGCAAAATGGGTCGCCTACGCACACAAACACGTTAATAAAAAGTATATATACTCACATATTATATATTCTGGATTTTAAGATATTCCAAAATGTAATGGACGTCGACAAACAGTTTCAAAATAATACTGTATTACGGACGTTGTTTTTCTAAGTTCATTTGCCATGAACTGATCACAGAATTTGATTTTTTGGAGTTACTCAATCCTGCCCCCTCCCCTCCGACAGGGATCAACAGTGTCATCCGTTCCAATCATCAATCAATATGAGAAAAATTTCTCTGTCCCCTGTGTGAATGTTTTACTCAATATATCACGTAGTCAATCACCGTTTATATTTATACCGATTTTAGCATGAAGCCTCCAGGAATGATTTTTCAATCTATTAATTCTGATATGGTAAATATTGAAAACCATTACTCCGTCTTACCAGTTTGATATACTATAATTTCACTTGCTTCCCAATTACTATCATCAAATTTATTCATAAAAAGGAAAATATATCTGATGTCTCACACTCAGTTTCAAAAGACAAGAATAAGGAGGTCTATAAAGGAAATGTTAAAAAACGATAATAATGATATACCACAGATGTACTTGACAAAAAATCATTGTACCTCATATCCTCGAGCTAATTTTAACTAGAGCATATACTCAGTGGTGACAATATTCTCTTTCCAGAAACTCCCAAACCTTCCAAGCCATCCAAAAGTAATGTTAATTAAGAAATTGAGATTTGAAACACCTAATGTCCACGAACGTTGTATAAAACGAGCGGAATTAAGAAATTGAGCTCTACTGAGATTACTCTTATGGGTTAACTTCGATATAAATAGTCAGTGCACATAGGAGTAACAAAGTCTCTCACTCACCTATATCCATTATCTCGTAGCACTATGAATGATAGGTAATAGTAATATTGAAATTAGCATTTGTCTGTGATTAGTGATCCTTGTGATACTACATAATTAACAACGATATCATACCACTCCTTCTCCACATAATTCTGTCCGTTATGAAAGTTTTGACTTTTCTCCTCTTCATTTAAATGTGGAGAAAAATCCTCGGATGTGCCACCTTCTGATGTAGCATTCTTGGATTACTTCTCATCTTCAAATTACATGAAAATATTTCTATCAATTTCAGAAATCCCTAATAAAAATGATACGATGACCAACTATTTCAATGATACCATCAATGAATCGGAATAAACGACAGTTTGAGGGAAATCACAAGAGTTTGCTTGGTGGAATTGTATAGTCACGTGGTGCAATAGCAATAATTTAAATCCGAGAAAATATAGTAAGCTGGAATGCATCCTTTGTATACAGCATGGAAAATCATATCAACAGATAATTTTTATTTCCTATTAATTTTGAATTTTTTTGAACCAGTAATATCACAAACATAACCGGATCATCACAAACAATTGATTTATTGAGGTTCTTTCGGTGGTGGTGCGTACGTTGGATAAGACCAATACCAGTCAAAAAACATAGCTTAAGATGCCGTAATAATCAAAAACTGCTTAATTCTTTTCTGACTGTAGTCGAGAATTACCAAAATTTGCAGAACTACTTTTGCAATAGCTCTATGATAACCATGAGCGGTTTTCGCAATTTTCGCATGAGCGGTTCCCTACAACATGTTTACAGAGTTTCTTCTTAATCTATAAGAAATATAATAGCAATTAAAAGAGCGAGAAGTTAAAAATTAACATGATTTGTATCAATAATGAAATGAATCCTTGCAGCCAAAAATAATTTACACGAAACTATAAATTTTGCTTAGGATCTCAAGAGTTCAACATGTATATTAGAAAAAAAAAAAAAAGAACCATTCTGCTAATAAAATTACGCATTATTTCCTGTTTTCCAGATATAAGGCATTCAAGGCGTGCATTGAGAGTACGTATTTGACGTCTTAGTTGTCGCCGCTCTTTCCTACAAAACGTTAGTAAAACAAGTAATAGGTAATGTTGCATTTCTGTTCGAATTTCTCGGAAAATTTTGAAAAGTCTTTAGTTACCTGTGCTCATCTCGTCCTCTCACCAAACGATTCATCAAAATTTCACATTCAGACTTCAAAGTTTCGATGAAATCCCGTTGCTCCTCGAGAAGCTTTTTCAATTCTGGAAAACCAATATATATCAGCAAAAAAAAGGAATTTCCAGAAAGAAGTGTGAAATATTACAAATTAGACTCACAAAGCCTAATCGCCTTCTTTCATCAACCTACCGGTCTGAAGAACGAAAGAACTCCCCACTTCTCCCTCACCCTTCTTTTTTCCACGCTCTTCTAACTTTCGAGTAAGCCTAGTGCGCCGCTGAATATATTTGGAAAAGTGTTTTTAATAACTTCTTTAAGCTTGGGAGAATTTCCTTTTCCTGATTTTATGCATCTAATAGCTTACAGTCAAGGGAAATCTTTTCTTCATAATTCATATTGTAGAATTGAAAGTTTACTAACGTGGTGACAATTCACTTGTACCCAAAGTAAGAAGTAAAGAGCGTAATGTAATGTTTTCATCAGCTAAAACGGATAGTCTCGCTACAAGCACTTTATCTTCTTTGTTTCGTTTTGCCAATTCTTTCGCAGTAGCCTCTGTAAGATCATTTACAAGCTTTTCTTTGGCAACGACTGAATCTTGCAGTATTTTCAACTGTGCCTGAAAATATCCGGATAATGAACACTAGGATGCATACACAAAGTCCCAACATAACTAATTTGCAAAAAACCAACCGGTGTACTTCAAAGCAGTATGATTATTCAACAGTTAGTGAAGTTTATGAATAACTAAATAAAAAATTCACATGCAAAGTTAACAAACAAAAAAAAAAGAATATGAAGTAGAGAATCTCTAAAACTTGTTGAACTGATTAAAAATCTGGTTGGTAATATAGAAAATACTCGGGGAGAAACGAATTCATCAGCATTTTATGCAATGAAAATAAACCAGTAATTTCAAATATAGTTCTTTGTTCGCGTCAATCAACAATCGCTAAAAAAACTCGCAAAAAATTACCTAGATTCAGGAGAACAGTGCCAAATTAGAAATGATCTATAAACTGTATGAAAGATGAAGAGTTTACCTTTACAACTTTGTTTTCTGCATTTAAGTTATCTGAGAATTTGATACCTTTTTTCTTTTTTATCAACCAGAAGATCATTTAGCTTTGAAAATTCGCTATTCCTTGCCTCGCGTTCTTTTTCTATAAGTTCATTCAAATGGTCGATGCGAATCTAAAGACCGTTTTGTTCTATTTTCATCACGCAATTTGCAGAGGCAAAGTATGTTTCAATTATATATATATATATATATATATATATATAT